ACAAAGGCCTGAAAGTGGAGATCACCACAGAAACAATAACGCTGAAAGATGGATCTTACGGCATCACACTGACCTGGTCTGACACGGGGCACATCATTCGGAAACAGTAAGTTGCTGAGCATTTGTTGTCTGCCCTATGGAAACCATTTGCAACACAGCGTTGGACTGACCCAGCTGTGGGTGGGATCCAGGTCACAGGGTGCCTACATATGGGCACGTGAATCTTAGCTAGATGTCTGAGCTCTCGTTATAGTTAATGAAATTAGGCAGTGGGGCCAAGAGAGCGATTCAGTTGACCAGACACAAGTTGAAAGAGCTGAATTCCTCTCCCTACTGCTGACTGCATTAGCTAAGACCAGGATTCAGTTTCCTAAACACAAGCACCTAATGTTATTTGAGATACCTTCAGGGTTCCTGACATGATGGGAGACATGACTCACAAAATCCAGGAGACCTTCACCTACAGATTAACAGCTAGCAGCCATGTTGGATACCCTACAGCACTAGACACCTGTTTAGATAACGGGATCACTTCCAAAATCTCCATTCATTGTAGCAAGAGCTTAAATTTGTAGGGCAAAATTTCGTTGCCTGAACATGGGCATGAAGTGTCTGTCCTATTAGGCACTGTCCTGCCAGACCTCTGGGTACCACTCCCAAGGCTGTGGGTTTCTGATGGATCCTCTGTCATATCTGCCAGCCCCGCGCGGTTGTTCTGGATGCCCGAGAGCATCTCAAGGGGCCTGAGAACTTATGCGTGGGCAGCTGCACTGAGCCCTTCCTTTGGTTCATCTCTGCTAGGCTTCTCATATCTGTGAAGAAAGAAAGCAACGTTACTATCACCGTGGGTGAGGAGATGTCCTTCATGGTTTTGCTGCACCGTGTGTGGAAGAATCACCCAGTTAATGTTGACTTCCTGGGAATCTACATTCCCCCTGAAAACCAGTTCTCTCCTGCAGCCCACGGGCTGATAGGTAAAAGGGCTGTGGGTCAGGCGGTGGGAATGGCAGGGCACTAGGAAGGGTTTTTGCTAGATCTTTGAGCGAATTAGTTGATGTCAGTGTCTTGATGGGGAAGGTGTGAAAACTATTCAAATAGAAAATGGGGGAGATTCCTGTAATGTCCTGGAAGCCCCAAGGACATTGTAGAACACCAGGGACCAAGATATTATTCCTTGTCCCGGCTGGGGAGGGTGTTTTCCAAAACAGGTCTGACTAGACTTGGTGACACTGTGATGGGGCTTGCCCCGCCTGGCTAATCTGCTGCCGGTTGAAAATAAAAAGACTGAAACAAACCCCCCAAACCTTCTTTCTGAGAAGACTTCTGTGCAAACATTTGTAATTCAGCTCTCCCCTAAATGACAGCCATTTTCTGGCAATGGTATAAAACAAACGCAAGGGTTCAGTTCACAGGGAAAATCAGCCCTCCGAGCCCCGGACCCACCCACGGCTCCTTTTAAGATGTGGGAATCCTGAGCAGCAGAGGTTGTTTTCCCAAATATTCTTTCAGTCTGCTTTCTTAGAAGAAGTTTGCTGGCTCAGAAGCAGAGCTTTTTACCCTCCCAGTGTGGGTGATCCGATAGCGCTGGAGACACGATGCCCTGTGATCCGTGCAGGAGAGGTTTACCTGCTGCAGCTGGTTTGATTTTCCAAAAGTGCCTGGCAGCAGCTTACATGAGAGCCTCAAAGGTTAGGACACGCAAAGAGCTTTAAACCCCTCTTTGATCAGGCCAGTTTGCATCTGAACCAGAAGTGTATATCCACCACCAAAGACCTGGGCAAGCTCCAGAGAAACCACAAGCCACCATGGAAGTGAAAGGAAACAAGCTCACTGTTACCAGGTAAGAATAACGTGCTTTATTGCTCTCTTTCTAAATCTGACTTCTTTTTAATGACGTCAGTGACTGCAGGCTTACTAACCCTCAAGGATCTCGGGGGAAAAAAATCCCTCTGTCTTCCCTCTGCTAATAATCTGGTTTTAGCTGTTGGCAAAACACGTGGGACAAGTTGGGTTCTTTCGCATTTGTGCATGAACAGGTCTGTCCGTGTAGCTGCCCAGCATCTGACAGGCCGTGTAGAAGTGCCTGCGACCCCCACAAAAAGGCACACGAGGCCATAGAACTGTAAAATTCATTGCATTTTGTGGTTGTTTCCACTCTCTGCTGGTGGAAGACACACGTCTCGCCACTTTGGCAGAGCAGCGCCGTGAATGAGCAGGATTATCGATGTCTTCTTGTCTACCTGTCATGCCGTGACCTTCATTTTGGGTGGCCTCTTCCTCACAGGGGGTTGCAGAAGGACTACAGGACGGACCGCGTGCTTGGGACTGACGTGCAGTGCTGGTTTGTGCACAACAGCGGGAAAGGTTTCATAGACGGCCACTACAAAGATTACCTCGTCCCCCACCTGTACAGCTTTCTGAAGAAACCCTGAATGCTCCAAGAGGAAACAAGTTTCTTACAAAAAATTCTTATCTGCTCCTTCTTGCCCAAACAACTCTTCCGAACAGTAGCTGTCAGCCTATCAAGCCAGATGGACCGAAAGTGACTTCACCACCATTTGCTTTATAAATGATCAGCGTTTCAAAGCAACGTAACTCCCTTTCCTGTTAAAAAATGAAATCTGTAATAAAGTGACATGCTGGGTTGTAGTAGCTATCTTGCACTTCTTGTGTCTGATTGAGTGGATATTAAACCCCATTAAAAATTTTAGCTGTTTTCTAATACACATTTCAGAGCAGACTCGTAACAGCATTGCGGCTCCTGCAGTCTGGGTAACAGACATGACCAGATTTAATACTTACACTTTTGCTTTTTCAGACTGCTGGGAAAATATAAGTTCATGCACTGCTGGATGGGGCAAAAAGCAATGGTTTTAAAGCCTAGCCAGGAGGATGTGCATTAGATGTAAGGGAAATCTAACAGAAAAGGAATGGGTATCTCTGGAATGGGTACCATGAGGAGTCCCCAGTCTTTAAGGATGGGTTGAGGAATGTCCTTGAAATAGCTGATGCTGCCATATTGCAGGAAAATGAATTAGATGAGTCTGAGACATCCTCCAGCCTATTTTTTTGTGAAAATTTCAACGTCACAGTGGAGTTCACACCCAGATATAAATCTGGGAAAGCGGGAAAAATTCAGACTACATAGAATTCACCATCAGTACTAAAAACTTCCTATCCAGTGGGATCAGCTCCCAAAAGATGCCTTACTCTTCAATAGTATTCAACAATGAATGAGATCAGTGGCGAAACAAATATACATGTGTATGTACCTAGAGCCAGATTTAAAACTCTGCTTTCAGGCAACCTCGGGAAAAAAATGTTGGCCAGATTCTTCTTAGCAGCCATAATTTAGGAAAGGGACTCAAGTAATCTCCTTGCCATTCTGAACTTTAGTTTCCTTCACTTATGAACTAAGGGCTGGTACATGACCTTTCTTGCGAGCCATGGTGTCAGGAGTGAGAGGATTAATGGATGTTAAGTGTCTCTTCAAAGTAACTCTCAGAAGTGTAAGCAACTTCCCTACAAACCATTTATTGCTTCTTTGAACTCATTTATTAGCTTCGGCCTCCACAACACCCTGCAGCAGTGAGTTCCCCAGTTTAACTAGGCCCTGTGGGGGGAGGAAAAACCTGTCAGGTGTGGTTTTAAATCCCCAAATCAGTAATTCCACTGTCTGTTTCCCAGCTTGTACATGAATACAAGCAGCGTATAATCATTCTCTGTTCATCTCCACAGAATTCGTAACTTAACATGTCTATTATATTCACTTTAACTTTTCAGGCTCCAGAATTTTAAGTGTAATTATTTTCAGTGGAACAGAAGCTGTTCTGTTCTTTCACTTATCCTCACTACTCTCCTACATACCTCTTCTCCTCCGTACCTGTTCCTTGAGAAAGGGCAGAGCTGTTTACACAACCCAGGCTGCACAAAGAGCCTGAATTTACAGACAAGTGTCTCTTCTGTCTCCAGTTCCCTTCCTCATAATTCTCCGTTCTTTAGATACTGCGTTACTGCTTGACCCTGCCTTGCATTTCCGTCCGGGATCCCTGGAAAGCCGTTTGATGTCCTGTGTGAGGTTATTTCAGGCTACTCCAGACAGCAGCCGTTTCACTAAACCTCTGCAGTCTTTCAGTTTTCCTGCAGGGGTCCCCTGGAAACCACAAATCAACAAGACAGTGACCCTTTGAGGCAAGGCAAGGGACAAGGAACAGTGACATTTGCCTCTAGCGACCTTGAACTTTTAAACCGCCACATAACTGATGTGTACGTCACGACAGCATCCTGCCCTCTTCAACCCTCAGCTGAGATCTCCTCCGAAGGGTACGGGGTCAGTTTTCTTTCCATCGGGTTCCAGAGACACACAACCTAGCCAGGGGCAGACTGGACCATCAGGTGATGGTTTGTATTTCGCCCGGGACGACTTGCGTCTTTCTTTTACACAAATAAGGCAGCGCACCGGCTGGGCGCTTTACTGTGCCCTTTGGTGGACATAAACCAACAGACACCTCATGCGTTTAAAAGGCTGATAAGAAATACACTGACCTAAGAAAGGTTTATGTTTATTCCTGAACTGCCTTAGAAATTAAATATTGTACAAAATGTGACATTTTTAAAAAAATAAAAAAGTAATGTTACATCATTTAGCGTGCGTAATGTTACTCATGTAGCAGAGCAACAATGGAAGCATGAACAAAGGGAAAGGCTCTGGAAAACCAAAACAGCAATCACCGATTCGTATCTGCACACACTTTGGCTGGCATCCTAGAAACCCCACAAGTAACATCCGTCTTGGAGTCCATATGAGGATAAATTGCATATTAGTATTATTAGGAACCCTGACAAACAAGATGACAGAGGAGTGATGACTTGCATTCTGCTATCGCTGATGTGCTAACCAAAAATAAGTTGGTGGCAGCACTTAATAAACCAGACCACTCTTAGAACAGCCAGGAAAATAATCCCTTGCAGCACTGTTACCTTCCTGCTATTCTCTTAATCCCTGTCCTTGTTCCTGCAGCCAGAACTCAATTTTGGCTGCAGATTGAGAAGTGTGTTGTTTAAACTCCACTGGCTCCGACACACGCTGCCTGCCTCAAGCAGCTATTTGTAGGTAATTCTCTCTCTTACAGAACTGCTAACATACTTCAGTAAATAAAATACTCCAGCTTGCAGCTATCTGCTATATTTTACAAAAGGAAATTGAACCAAATATTATAACATAACTTTGGTATAGAATCAGATGAAGTATTTCCACTGATAAGATTTCCACAAACACTTTATGTAACAAATCCATAGTGATCTTTAAATAAACCCAGTTTGCTTGTGGTTAATTTCTATATACATTATAAATACGTACACACACACAATTAAAACCCTGACATGGTAGAGTCTTGTGTCTGCCTGCAAGATGCCAGAAAGATGTTTTTGGGAACCAAAATCTTCTCTGATCCATGATTAGCACCTCAGGCGAGTTTGGAAATGTCTTCGTACTGGATATCTTCAACCCGCCGTCCTTTTAAAGGTCCCTGGAGAATAACGTAGTGTAAGAAATAAGATCAAAACATAAACTTGTTTGTTTGTTAAAATCACAATAGGGAGTTTAAAGCAAGATAGCTAAAGGGACCGTATGAAATCTTGCCACATTTAGACATTTTTCAAGAAGCACAACCAAAGTGAATAGCACTGGAAATCATGGGCATTAGTGGTTTTACTCAGTGCTGCACACAGTAAAAGCACAACGACTACTTTTCTGTTTAGCCAAAGCTCCTTCTGTGTTAGGACACCTGTACAGTCTCTTCCCAAGAATCCAATACGGGCTGAATTTCTGCAGCCCTTCTCTGCATGGGATCCTAACAGGGTCTCTCTCCTGCAAGCTGTTTTAAGACATCTGACTGTGAGCCAAAATCCTCTCTGCCATATCAGTGAGTTTAAAGATTGGTTTTGCAGAGGACAATAAAGAAGTAGCCACACAGACAGACATGATGACATGGCCTAATTTTAGCCAAGAGAAAGGTGATAGGTAAAAAAACAACAACAACAAAAAAAGAACCGTAATTGTTAACCATAAACAAGACAACAAATAAGCACATAAAGCCCCATGTTCAGTTTGGAAAAGGCAGGAGAAAATTCACCTCCTTGCATATTTCACATTTTTACCTTCCCACAAAATAGTACAACAACAGCCACATTCAAAACAAACATACAAAATATTTTGCAAGTCTCTTTCAAGTTCAAAATTTGCCAAATTCAGCATCCTGGCATCTTTTTAAAGGCAAACAGCAGAGCATTAGTCTGCAATGAGGAACATGTGGCTGTTTCCCTACTGGTTGGGAATAGGCAGGGAGTGACCACAGCATTTTGCACACCATAAATCCCACCTGTAAGACAGGATTAATGATACCATCTTTCTTTGTGAAAGCTCCCCAATGTACAGCTGAAAAGCACTCTACGCAAACGAGATCTTGCAGTGTTTGATACTCACAGAGTCGATGATTATCGTCGCTGAAAACCTCTTTTCATTGATAGATTCCAAGATGCCTTCATTTCCCCTGTAACCACCATTTAACACCATCACTTTCTTGCCTGAAATGAGAAATAGGAAAACAGTTACACAACAGGGCTCCCAACTTCTTTTGACGGAGTTGTGTTCAACTCCACTGACAGCTGAGGGAGAGGTTTCTCCCAGCAGCTCCAGCAGGCAGCACCCAGCTTTGCCTTACAGCCTGCCCATTTCCAAAGCGCACCTAAGTTTACTGCTCCAGGCTACGCTGATACTACGGGCAGAAACCATTGAAATTACATCAGGGAAAGAAGCCAAAGCTACTTCTCCCATGTCCCATTCCCTGTGCTAATGGCTCAGTGTACCGCCTTTTCCTTCTGTCTCACACAGGCAGTCCCCTCAGGGCATCAATCCTAGTGCAAGGGTGGGCAGAGCCATTATGCTCTGTACATTACAAGTACCATAATGCTAAAGAGCACTCGCGGACAGCATCAACCAGCTCTTCACCAGCTGCAGAAATGCAGAAATGCAGCAGGTCTGCTGAAGAATCTGTGAATCCCAAAATCCTACATCCTGTTTCCCCTATGCTGACAGTGTCCTGCTTACTGCTATCCTGACAGTTCCCTGAAATACTGGTCAGATGCTACACACAAACATCAGTGTGCACCAGCCAAAGAAATGCCAGTGACCAAACAGGAGATGCGGTAAGCTTTGCCAAGTACCCACAGCTATTCAAGGCATGACTTGGGAGGGAAGATACAGGATAAATATGACCAAGGGCTCTGTAGGGCTCCCAGAGATGCTTCCTGGCAGCTGAAGAGAGATGCTTTCATCTCGTCAAATGAACTGATTCCTAAAGCACTTCTGTCTTCTCAGAGAAGAATCTAATTCTTACGAGAAGAGACTGTGAAGACTCAAAGCAGAAGCTATGTAATAATTCCCTAGAAAGTAACCAGAGGATACTTGGTAAATGATCAGAGCAACTTACAAAATGCTGTCACAAGAGCAAGATGGCTCTTGTTATGGTACTTTCAAGTGGATAAATTATAGTTTAAAAGAACTGAAATATAAGTTTCGCAGTGACAGCGAAGCTGAAAAACAAACAAAATAGCTGTACCTGGTGCTGGTATTACAGTTTCTAGATGTGTCTGATCAAGCTTCAGTTTGTCTTCAGAATCAATCATCTTCACAACTGCTGTATATTTGTCAATCACTTCCTGTTGTGAAACGGAGAGGCCAATGAGAAAAATAAAAAAAAATTCTCTAAATTTGCATTTCAAAATTAAGAAACTCAGGACCGTGAGTCTGCACTTCTACATTTTCAAAAGCAGCAAGGACTTCTGAGCTGTCCTAAAGGCATCCAGCTTTCACAAACTGCCGACCAGCCCCACTCTGAAGTTAAGGCTAGATTAAAAGGGCTCCTCTCGAACATCAATGACTGGTCTAGTTGACCGCTAATTTTGCTGGCCTTGTCCGAAGGTTTTGTCAACCTTCGGGTCAGCTATCTTACCTATTCTCTCAAAGATGGAGAGTAAATTAGAGGCTTCTTTCCCCCATCGGAGGCTAAGCTGGCTGGATGCCACAGAGTAACAACTGGGATACTACCTCTCAATGAGGCAAAATGTCATCTTTGCGCCTAGCATAAACCATGTTCCACCTCTCATATTCAGAGCTCAGTGGAAGACAGCCCTCCCAGATAAACCCTCCCAGATGCCGACCAAAACCAGCTGTGATTCTGAGCTCTATATACTCCTGTCAATCATTCAAAACACACCTGGGTGTCGTCTTTGGCGCTCTTGCCAGAGACTGTTGAGCTTTGGGCTACCTAGTATAGCATCGTTTCACTGGCAGTGGCTGAAAGAAAGCACTTCCCAACAACAGAGCAAGGCTTACCGTTTGAAGATTTTGTATGCAAATTGGATCTTGCTCAAAGGCAGCCTGCCGCTTAAATATTACTGCAAAACTGACTAGTCTGAGATTAAAATGCAATTGCGCAGCTCTTGGTCATATCACATTGACAAAGTGACTATTCTCCACGATAGATGTGTTAATAGGGACAAACTATGCAAGATAAAACAGCAGTTAAGAAAGAATCACCGAGTAAATGCCATTAAACCAATGCAGAGATTCATTCCCTGCCCAGAGTAAGTCCCAGTAAAGTTAAGGTGACATTTCAGCCCCTGTCAGTGTTGACTTAAGGCTGAACAACTTGCACAATGAAACAAAATTTCAGAAGTCATCTGATACCAGAAAAGCCTAACCAGTGCCACATGCTTCCATTTGCACACTTTACCTTAACAACTGCTTTCTTCTTGTGATACTTCTCTCCAAGCTTTTTTGTTACAATTTTTACAATGATTTCCTGGAAGATTTGAAAGGAGAAAAAAAAAATAAAATGCCAAAATATACAAACAACTACACAATCTGACCTAATTGCACATTCAGGCCAGTCTGACTCCAACTACAGACTGTACAGCGCAGCGCAGGAAGCAACGATAGTAAAGACTCAGCAACTCGTCTTTATCCTCGAATTATTGCCTCAAAGTAGTATCTCTCAAGACTTTTTTTTTGTTTTACAAGACAGTTACACTTGAATTCAGGATATAATGCGACAGCCCACAATGGGTCAAAGGCAGAACTTCTTGATCTGGAAGTCCAGTCAGTAAGTAGAAGCTGAGATGAGGTCTCTCAGCTCAAAGGCTGATGTTGACTTCTACATCTCTGTGCGTGCCAACTACTGGTGTAGAAAGAAGAGGGCTGTAAGTAACATCATGATTTAAACATGATCTGTAGACACTCACAGTACCAACTTTTTAATTAGAGAATTCCACCCTATCTGCGATCAGGCATAAGATGCTTCAGATTGCAGATCATGCTCAACCAGAAAAGTAATTCCTCCCAGATACTGTAATATTTCACATTTGGCAGCTTGGAAAATATGAGTGAATTTAGTTTGGAATCTGCTTTTGGATCTTTACACAAATCAATAGCGGCTTTAGAGATGCAGAATTGGTTGTATCTAGTATAATAATAATTTTTAAGACACTTACAGGCTGCAACCAGTAGTCTCTTCGAGATGTTCTTTTCTTCTCCTCTTCAAGCTACAGAACAACAACAAATAATCACCATTTACGTCCTCCTTTCACTGCAGCTTTCCCATGCCTTTGAAAAGCTGAACCAATTCTCCAGGCCCACATGAAGTGGGGAATTAAAAAAACCCCAAAACTAGTTAAGGGTAAGTCAGTGTATGCTTGCTGCATAAAAATCAATCTGATGAGATCCAGGAATCCATGATAAAATGATGAAGATTTATATTTGGTTTTGTCAAGTGTTTCTAGGTATTTTCTTCTCTTCCAAAATCTGTATTCTTTTACTTCCAACATCTCAGTCGTCTGGGGAATAGGCACAGATGAGCAGCAGAAACCAGTTTTAATGGGGAAGTGAAATCATTTTGCCTAATAAGATATAAAAGTCTGAATTCCACATGAACTGAAGGTCTGAGGTCACTTCAAAGGGATGCCCTGGTAAAGTGGACATAGCCATAGGCACGGGGTTATAAAGACACAGATCCTGCATGATTATTACCTCCATAATCTCATCCAGTGCAGATTTCTTCTTTTTCTCTTTGGACTGACCAGAGCTATGAGCTGATTCTTTTCTTTTAACTGCCCCTTCCACCATCTTCAGTGCATTCGGTCCAAGGACACTGCTGGAAGAGTAAGATGGTGTTTTCACAGCAGACCTTAAATTGTCTCCTCTACCAAGATGCATTTGAAGAGCTGGTTGTGCAAAAAAGCCTGCTGATCTATTTAATTTCAGTTGTGCAAGCCACCTTCCAGACCCTGCATGACTCTTTCTCTAGGACTGCATTTGGCAGCTAGAACTGATCTCCTTGAGGTGTAAACTCCATGTCCACTGACGTTTGCTGCTAGCAGTCCAGCAGAATGAAAACAACCTAACGATCAGTTCACCAATGCAAAAGCAAAGAGTTGATCGGGGACTTGAGTTCAATGGAGAAGACAAAAGCAGGTCTGCAAATACGGTTTTCAAATTTGAAACTTTTGGCTTTGGAGAAGCCACCTGGACAGAGCAACTCTCAAACATGGTAGACATCTAGAACTCCTTCCAGACAGAGATACTTAACCCATCCGTCAGAGGGAGAAAATACATGGGAATCTACAGAAAAGGACTCCACACCCAGCAAATAAATACCATCTTCACAATCGTATTCAAAATAGGCAAACAGCCTACAAGTTATGAAACAAAAGAGTAATCGGCACAAAAAGTTACATCTCAGGGATCAGGGAACATCTAGGTAAAGTGAGAACTGCCTAAAGGCAGCTTGAGTTAAGCCATTTCTATAAAAGACATTTGAATGCAGTAAAAAAATTTAGGTGTTCTCTCATCCAGAAAGACGAAGGCTGCTGTGAGGTGGATAGTAATGTAATATTAGTATGGCCTTACAACAAATCACATGTTCTGCCTGCGGGGAGGACATTCGATATACTAGCAAAGTGAAGATACGTAATGGGAATGAAGATACAGAAATGGCAGTAGAAACAAAATTGAGAGAAAAATAACTGTATTTCAGAGGACGACTGGATAATCTTCATAGCAGAGTTCTAGAAGAAAAAGCACATTAAATCACAAATCCAATAGCAAGTACTTCAAATAAAATCTCATAAAGGGTAACAATTAAAACATAACAACTGCAGTGCCTACATTTAAGAAGGAAAACACATCTAGCTGTGAGGTTACTATGGGATTTCTGGGCGTCAATACTAAAACAAATCTTATTTGACATATTCATTAAGGACCCTGGGTCAAGAGTGAGAGACCACCAACACTGTTCAGGTGTGCCATTCAATGTGGAGGACACAAGAAAGAACTGAACACCAGAAGGGACTGGTTTATCTTGAAAACTATGTTTGAAAAAACAAAATTCAACAGTACATTATGCAAGCTCACATAGTTTGGAAAGGTTTACTCTGATTACCTTCTATCTACTGGGAGCTGTTTAAGAACAACAAAAGCAGAAAGGGGTCAGGCTATAATCACAGATGACAGCTACCAGTGTGGACCAGTCATGAAAGAGTCAAATGCAATCCTAGGGAGCATCAAGACAGACAAGCATTAGTGCCTTGTATAAGCCATGGTGACGTTTCATTTGCAGCATGTACAAATTCGATCAGCTCCCCTGTTCAAGATTAGCTGAAACTGGAACAAGGACAAGGAAGGGATATTCAGCGGATCAGGGGAATGAGGAGACGAGGCCAGCACCGTGCAGGCCTTGTACAGCACAGTGAAGGCTGAGAGGCTAAAACTCTACAAATAAATTGTCTGAGAAAGCAAACACCAGGGAGAAAAACAACTATTTATGTTAAACGCCCATACCAACATAAGAGCAACTGGTATAAACTGGCCATGACTACATTTACCTGGGAAATTATAGACAAGGTCCTAACCATCAGAGCAAACAGGTTTTGAAGGATCTTCCCTTGGGATCCTAGGGCTGGGGAGACCCTAACTGTGTACAACAGAGGATGATCAGTGTGCGGACAGGACTGTACGCTGGTACATTTGCAGTACTGCAGACAGGAGTCAGTGACCTTGACAGTAGCTTCTGCTCATTCCTTAATTAGAAGTAATTCTAATCTTACTTGTCCACTGAGTGAGTTAAGCAGGGATTTGAGGATGTAAATTCTTGAGGGGAAAAAAGTAAGCCCAGGGCTCCCAGTTTGCTCAAGGGCAGTCAGCATCAGAAGCCATGCCCGCAGCGGCAGTGGTGACTCCTATCTCCATCTCAGCCACACGGACATTGAAGGGAAGGCACACCTCCCCTCTCACTCCCTTCTCAGCAAGACTCCAACTCCATCTCTGCACCCAACTACCAGTATCCAGATGCCCCCAAAACTCCACCATCCACTATCTATGATCTCCTGGTCCTGTTTCTGCACCCCGCTAAGAAATACAAGTGCCAGGTTTCTGTAGTTTGTGCTGTGTTTGAGCACAGAAGGTGGGAAGCCAGGAAGTCCTACTGCACACTGTGCTGGGGTACTGGACATCGGGTTGAACTCAACTGTTCCTCAGTAACAGCCAACGTATCTCACAGCTGCAGAACACACCTTTACATTGACACAGGGAAGCAGTTTCCATATACAATTCCTGTATCACCGGTGACACATAAACCACAGTCTGGTCACTTTACCATGAACTGGGTATCCTAATTTTGCTTCTACACTACCATTACAGACCTTACACACAAGTATCTCTCATATGCTATGAAAAAATTAGACTATTTGATATACAATTTCACAGTCAGACAAATTTTAGTAAGCACCCTAAGTATTCCTCACTGAAACTATTCAAGTGAGTGTCTGCATTAAGTTTCAGACTCATCTTAAACACAACTCAATGCTTAGGGATAATTTACAAGTTTTCCTCAAAGCCTGAAATCTGTATCTATTATTGCAAAGAACTACTATATTGTCTCATTTTCTGCCTGGCATGTCTCCCATCAGATATCTTATCTAAGAGCTGAGCTTGTGATGAGAGGAAAGCTTTCGTTTTACCTGCAATACATTTAATTACAATATTGCCTCACATGAAAAGATGTACTGCTCATCAAACAGTTTCACAGACTGCCATAAGTCAGTATTGTTTGCATTATTGATCCCTTCTGTCCTGCGGTGCTCGTGGTTATATGATGACAATTAAATTCATGAGCTTCAGAAAGATTTACATCAGGTAGGTTCAGCTTCTTAAATGATTATCAGAGAAAGTATTACCTCCAATTAGACAAGGCAATGAAACCTTTAGGAACCAAAATTAACAAGTCATGAATATCCATTCATAGAAGGCAGCTGGGACTAGATGTCATTCACTTCAGATGCTTTGACTGGATCCCTTATCCACCCTTTCACATAACAGTAACTTCTCAGAGGAACCTATAACTGCCTATTACTTTATAGGCATCTGCCAAGAACCATCGTGAATTCAAGAAGGCTCCTCACAGCACACATTTAAGATAAACCCATTCATCCATTTAAAATACAAAAGGAATCATGAAGTCACGTAGTATCCCCTCCTGAATAACATGACAGGATGAGATATTAGACTCCAAATATTTCAGGACAAGATGCATCTTCCTGCCCGTACAAATATCATTGTCATATAAGTGCTTTGCAACAGTAAGGGTTGCCCTTAAATTCTTTTCTCACCTTGTTTTAGAAGATGCTGCTATTGAAGTACTTGCTCCTTTGTTTAAATTAAATGTAACTAAAAAATAAAAAGACATTACTCTATTTCTATCTTTAAAAATAACTGCATTGAAGGATGTTACAATTTTAAAAATCTGCAAAAGGAAAAGATCATAAATTTGAAAATATTTACTAATCTATGTTTTGGTTCAGCTTTTAAAATAAATTAGTTTAAACTTTATAAGAAAGAATACTCTGTATTTCCATATTCCAGTGCTCTTTATAACTGATCTCAAAGCACTTTATGAAGCACCGAGCAGGCCTCAGCGCTCATCTTGTTTTAATCACAAAATCAGCTTCAGTAGGTTCTAGAAAATTACATGTATCAAAATCTGGTTACCTTTTTCTTCTTCACTTTCTCTGTTCAGTTCAGTATAGACTGGCTTTTCCTGCCAAAAAAACACAAAACACATTTCAAGAGTCAAACAGAAAACTGAGCCAAGATATTTTTTGGTGATCATTGATTAGCTCAGTTTTACAGACTACTGCGAGATTATTTTAAGTAACTGTAATATTCAACCTGGCTTGATTCATAAGAAGATTATAAATTGAAAACATTATCTCATTACAGGCTCCTGTGCAAAATTCTCTAATTAACACACTCTACAGAGACGCTGCCTAAACTTGCTTGATTCCAGCATGAAAGGAAAGTGGCCTTACTGTAGCAGTTTTCTCTATTTGAACCAGCATGATTAGACTGGTTTCTGGACAGACTGATAACTCAAAGAAGGAAATTCTGGAATCTTTCCAAATTTTTAGCACCAAAGGTCAGACCATTTAAATTTCAATTAGTTTTAAATTAAGAAAAAGATAATCGTTTACAACAGCATTTAAATGTACCTATCAATACCCAGGATCAAATGGGAGGTTCCAGTCCCAGGCAACAACGTGTATGGAAGTCATGGAACGACGCCAAATAAACAGATCACAAATACCACACCAGCACTATCAAAATAAAACTTTCCACTATGCGGATTTTATTATGTCAGCCCCTCCTGGCTATTTATCTCAGCTTCCCCACTGTACAAGGTACTTGTTATTTACAGCCCTAAAAGTTGTCAAATACCATAAATGAAGACACGCCATGCTGGTTACTATGTCGTTGACTCTCCCTTCCTAAATTCAAGAGTGATTTTTAAATCACTAATCACTTGAAGAGCAGTAATTATTACTCCTTTAGTACTAAAGCAAGCCAGGTACAAAGTAATACCAAGTTTTACTCCAGAGCAGGTTATAATCTACGGTAACTGTATAGCAGAAAATTCAGAACGTAAGTGAACTGATGTGGTGATTCAGGTATCGAAGAAGACAGTCTAAATCAAAGTCTGAAATGGCCAGGATCAGACACTAGAGCCACAGGATACAATTCTAGTAGATTTCAAAATCACATCAAATCTAAAAGGAGCTGAAACCTCGCTTTCTTTTTTTTTTTTCTTTTTTTGAAACTGTGATTCCATAGAGACCTTGATGTTCATCAGCTGTAAAAACCACCAGCAAGCGGTAACAAGTTGCAATTTCAACAGAAACAAGTTAGTCAAGGCTGCTATTGGAAGTATCTGGGAGAAGACTATTCCTTGTGGCTTAGAAAAGAACAGCAATGCAGCCAAAATGCCCACTGTTCCCCAGTTTGAACGGGTGATGAGCTTGTAACCTGAAGCATGAAGCTTACTCATCACCTTTTAACTGACTGCAAAGGAAATACCAGTGCAAGGATCCCAGCAGCATCAAATTCACCATTAGCTTAACCAAGAGGAGTTTTGAGCTGAAGGTTGACATACAGTGCAATTTTCCTCACCAGTTCTTTCCCTTCCAAACCTCTTCTAACTTGTTGTTCAATGAATTTAGCAGTTTTTTCTTCATCATCAAGGTCCTGTTTCTTCTTCCTCTCTTGTTCTTGTTGCCTGCGAATAGTCTCTGGGTCCCTATCAATATATTGAATATACCAGCCTTTTGGAGTCTCATCAACCTTGCAAAGACCTAAAAAGTCAATGCAAGATAAAGATTAATACTCACAAAAGCAAGCAAGGGACAAAGAAAATATCAAGATCATTTTCATAGTCCATGTTCGCTATAACAATGCAGATACTTTACCAGAGACAATGTACCCCTTACTGGCCTGGTAAAATTGACTTTGAATTTTCTTTAGTATCTGTTTCTGCCCTTCAGCTAGACGGTTCTATTTGGAAATAGGCCAGAGTACATAATAAAGCGGAGTGTTTTATAATACTTTCCTTATTGAAGAAAATGTTTCCTTCCCACTGTTTTAACAAGAAAGAAAACAGAAATCTAACACATATAAACAATACACACTAATAGCATCATACTAAAGGAAACTTTACTATGCTATGCCATTGTTACTAACTCTCACTACAGTGACTTTTCAAACACTATATGACTCATGAATGTATCCTGTAGGACACAGGCAATCAGAGCCAAAGTAAACTTCGTGTCATACCACAGTGCCTTTTAACCCCTCTTCCTCCCACTGAACACAAACCTGCAGATCTCAAGCTTTAACCCTTTCACTAGGCCAGGAGCAAAAATGACTGCTCACTTCTTGTCACCTTAAATATGGAAGGACTCTGTAGTCTTAAGAAATGTTCTATCGTAGTTTTTAATTTTTAAATGGCAGCTGTTGGAAGTTGATTTAGAATTTAGCAATATGTCCAGTAAACATAGACCACAGATGAAACAAAGAAAGGTTCATAACTGACGCATTTATCCCAGACTTCTGACATTTTTCATAAGCAAATTCCTAATGGTTAGCACAGAAATATGTTTGGACAGGAGAGGAGGGGAAGAAAGAAAAAGGAAAAGGGAGAACTAACATAAATGTTTACTGATCACTTATCAGCAATGCAATTACCCAATAATTTTAAAACTTCCCAACCCTGAGCAACTACATTTACCTTCTCTCCCCAGCCATTTAGTAAAATCAGTCAATGTCTCCCACTGTGTGGCATTCATGTGGATATGTTCTCGATGACTGATATATTCATTGTACACAATATTATTGTGGACTCTCTTTGTTCCTGAAATACAGAATTATTATTATTAAATACAAATATAGGACCTAGGAGAAAGCAACCAAAACTTCTTGCACTGAACTAATAAAAGACATTAAAAACAAACAAACAAACAGTAAAATATTTACCAAATCGCCTCCTGAGCAGTTCTAGGAAATCATTTCGGAACTCCCTTGGGGGATAAAAAGAAAGTAATTTAGTAAAACTTCAATGGTTACAAAGCAATTTTCTATTGTCATTAACAATGAAATATCTGCAGTATAAAAATCAGTATTCTTTTGAACTGAGCATAATGAAATTCAGACACTCATTTCCCTTTTTCAGTAAAATAGCATTAAATGTATGCACAAAGAAACACAATACAGTACCTGCACGTACAAGTTAAATCTTCAGAAGGATAATACCCTTTCAAAGGGATAAAATGGAAAAGAACGAAATCTAAACACTTCCCACTAATTGCTGGTATTTCATTACCAGGTATCTTCCCAGGTTGACTGACACAAAACACACGGCAGGACAAAGGGCAGCAGTGGTAGATGGGGCAGATTGATCACTCATCTCACTGCTAATTCAAGAGCTTCAGACTCGTGCTGAAGACAGCTCCAGTCAACCCAGCTGTCATGTAGGTCAGCTGGACAAAGGACTGGGGGAAACTGTGGGACGTTAGTCGCACCCCTGGCTTGTTATCCCTCTGTAATGGTTCTTTTAGCTCTTTGTAACTCTGCGTGTAACTCTGTCCCTGCATTAGCTGGGGCAGAACAGTGACGTACTTTGTAACATAGAGCAACTTAAAATGGGATTCAGACACGGCACAAAACTGTCAAATTTGATTAAACATCATGGCTCCCTGAAACCTCTTACATGTGTTCAAAAGTGACATCGCCTAAATTTTCAAACTGCCATTAAAAAAAGAGCTGACACTAAAATGTATCAGAATAAAGCGTCTTCAGTGGGACATGATTGGGCCTTAGAGGTATGGCTGTGCAGATGTGATACAGGAATGAAGACCTGGGTAAGAATATGTAGCAAACTTACTCAGAAAAGTAATCCATGAATTGCTGAGGATTTTCAGAAGCCAGCAGCAATTGCCTCTGGTGGGACTCAGACATGCAATGACATTTGAAGCCATTCTATAAAACAAAAATAAATACTTTGTCTGTCTTTGTCTCAATTTGCAACACTCGCACAGCTGAAGAGTATTAAAAATAACATTTTATAAGTGAAATTTCTTGGAGGCTCCACAGAAAACACCTTAACTCAGCCATAGCCTACACAGGATAGTTGTTCCTCCTGACACAGAGTGGTTTGTTTGGGCAAGCCAGAAACAAAACTCTTCCCAGGTCCAAGAGCCTTCAGACAAACTGTGAAAGGGGCTACGAGACAGGACATTCCAGTAGTCCTCTTCGTCCCTTGTGGAATGGGATAGACGTGGCACTACTCAGATCCACTCAGGACCCATCCAGGCGCTTGTGCGAGAGCACTGGAAATATCTACTGGCTCCCTACCTGACCACACCAACAAATGTGTGTAAGGAGGAGATGGTGTCCTGGGAGCGCTCAAGCTATGGACTGTGGTCGTTTGGCCACCTCTGGCACATGGTTGAAGTCATCAGAGCTCCCCTAAAAGCACACAGTCATAGGACGTTTGACCACATCCTTTTTTTGTCTAATATAATGCTCTTTCATCACAATATGATTAAATCTACAGCAAATTTCATTCCACGGGAGCCCTGTTGCCCCTTATAAAAAGATCTGGTTGTAATGCGGTGAAGCTTTTTTGCTTGTAATCACTGGGAAGAGAATAGGATTTGAGCTTCTTGGGTGAAAGGGAGAGGGGGGCAGGAACAGCTGAAGAACGAGACAATTAAACATCCACAGGATGCTTTACTTCTCTTCTCTAAGGCACATTAAAGATGCTATTCATGGAGAATGGAAAATTAAAAGCACAGTTAGCCCAAGTGGAGATACTTTTGGAGCACAACTCTGGTGGAAATCAGGAAGAAGAGGACACTCACATCCCACAGGCATCTGGGTCCAAGTGAATAGACAAGTGAAAAGAAGAGGGGGAAGCTTCAAAGAATAAGCTTCTCTTCATAACAGGAGAAGAAGGGAAGAAACCGAGCCAGAATCAGAAGGAAGGAGTCCCAGTAAAAGATAGACACGGACCTGCTGAAGCGGGTCCAGAGGAAGCCACAAAAATGATGAAGGGGGTGGAACACCTCTCCTGTGAAGAAAGGCTGAGAGAGTTGGGGTTGTTCAGACTGGAGAAGAGGCGGCTTTGGGGAGACCTTATTGTGGTCTTTCAGCACTTAAAGGGGGCTTATAAGAAAGATGGGGACAGACTTTTTAGCTGGGCCTGTTGCAACAGGACAAGGGGGAATGGTTTTAAACTAAAAGAAGGTAGATTTAGACTAGATATAAGGAAGAAATCTTTTACAATGTGGGTGGTGAAACCCTGGCGCAGGTTGCCCAGAGAGGTGGTAGATGCCCCATCCCTGGGAACATTCAAGGTCAGGTTGGGCAGGGCTCAGAGCAACCTGATCTATTTGAAGATGTCCCTGCCCATGGCAGGGGGGTTGGACTAGATGACCTTGAAAGGTTCCTTTCAATCCAACCATTCTATGATTCTATGAAAAGAGACCTCACAGGGCTCCAGATGCACAACCCCTTGGGCATGTCACCACACCCACCCTGTCCCCAAGGGAAATCATGGCTACCCGCAACTCCCCTCTAAGGTGGATGGAAGCCACCTAACTCTTAACCCCATCAGCCTCTCAAGGTATATATGAGGGAATCACCCCTCCAGGGGGTTTGGGGCCACCCTGTGCTCCCTCTCACCCTGCAGGGGATTAAACATCCCCAAAGATGAATCAGGGCCAACACGCTTTCTCCAAAATGGATAAGGACTCCCATGGGGGATCCCAAAGGGATTGGCCCACCCCCAACAATTGGGAACCCTCTAGGTCCCACCAATCTGCCCCCAAGGGGACCGTAGTCCATACAAGAGGGACTGGGGACCCCCTAAGGGGAACAAGGGCCCTTTCCAATGCTCTCCTAAAGAGAGTTGGGGCTCCCTGTGCTCCCAGCAAGTGAGGCCAGGATACTCCCTAGAAGGGTCACACCCACAGATGGGATCAGAGCCCCCACAAGGAGACTGGGAACACTTAAAAGGGAAATCTGAGTCAGCCCTGTAGCCCCCTGGAAAGGGACTGGGGAACCCACAAGAAGGTTATGAGGCCCCATACCCCCTAATGGAATGGCAGCCCCCACAAGAGGATCAGGGACCCCTACAAGGGCGATCGCAGCACCCCCGTGCCCCCCTCAATGGCACTGGGGACGCTTACAAGTGAGATCGGAGCCCGCACAAGGTGACTGAGCACCCCAACCCAGAAGATCTGATCCCCCTGTTTATCTCCAGGAGACCCGCCCC